AAAGGCCTCCGAGACCTCTCCGACTCCTGGGGGCAGCTCGGCCCCCCAGAAGGAGGCCTCCCAGTCTCAATCCCCCTCCAAGCAGGCCGCCGGCAAAAAGAAGGGGCCAGGGCAGAAGAGGGGTCGAGAGGACGAGCCTTCCCAGTCCGGGAAGAAGCCGACGCCAGCCCCAGCACAGCGCCCTCTCCTGTTGACGTCGGGGGGCCTTGTCCACCTGGGGGTTGGCTCCGCGGAGGAGCACGCTCGGGAGAGCGCTCCCCCGAGCTTATGGCACTTCCGCCACGTGGCCCCCACGAAGCCGGGGCAAGCCCCCACCATGCACGACCCCCGCCACTTCTGCCCGTCCTGGGAGCTCGCCATCAACGACCGAGCCCAGTTCCCCGAAGTGGCTCGCGAGTTGGTCACGGGCTCAGTCCTTCTACGCGATAGGAGGTGGATGGAGCTGGCCAGCCCGTTCGAGCTCCAGGACATGTACTACACCACCCAGACCCAAGTAAGCCCTCTCCCGCTTAGGCCCCTTGGGCCCCTTCTCTTTCCCTTGATGGAGTTGGTATTGTGCTTACTCTTACTTTCCTTTCCTCAGGCCAATGCCGTCGATGCTGCCCTGGTGACCCGCTTCTCCGAGCTGTCTCCCGATTTGGAGAAGTTGCAGAAGAAGCATCGGGAGACCGAGCAGAAGCTTGCCCAGGCCCTTAAGGGGGCGGACTCCCTTAAGGCCAAACTGGGTAAGGCCGAGAAGGGGTTGGAGGAGGCCCAAGTCCAGCTCGCCGCCACCCGGTCCGAGCTGGACCAGGAGAAGAAGGGCATGGCGAAATTGAGGGAGGACCAAGCCATTGAGCTCTCCGGCACCGTCAGCCAAGGCTGTTCGGGAGTTCATCTCCTCTGAGCAGTTCGCAGAGGACGTGGCCCTCCTCAACCAGCCCATCCTTCAGGTCGGCGTCACGCGGGCCCTGGACCAGGTGAAGGGCCTCAACCTACCCGGCTTCAACTTGGCTGATTTCAGGGACTACAACCCCGCAGCCGAGGGGAAGCTGGACTGGCTCTTCGATGGGTACTGCAAAGGGCATGCTCTGAAAGATCTGACGGGTAGGAGCGATGTAGGGGCCGAGCTGGCGGAGCTCCCCCTGGAGGAGGAGGAGACCCCTGGCAGGGCTTCTGGGAAGGAGCCAGTGGCTTAGGGCAGAGGCCACTCCAGAAACCCTTTCCATCCTCTTATAAGGATGTGGCCATGCCCCGCAGTTCATGATCTCCACAGATCCTTTTTAACAGCCTTCTCCATACGCCTCTCAACATGCTTAAGGTGTACTTTCAGCTCCCGCCTCAAGCAGGTCGCCAGCAAGAAGAAGGCATAGCTAGGTTTTCCTTTCCTTGTATAGCTCGGTAGGCTTTGTAATAGATAGGGTCTGAATGCATATATGAGATGAAGTTTGAATGAAACTATCTGCTTTGACCTTCAATTCCTAGTTAGCGGCGAACTCTAGTAACCGAAGAGGAACACCGATCTCCCGGGTCGAGCACCAAATAGATCCACCAAGGCGGCGTGCCGACCTCTTGGGTCGAGAATCTATCGCCCTTTAAGCTAACGGCTAAGTTGTCAGGGACACCAAACCATCAAACAATCAGGCTGATTTAGCAATTGAATTCTAATAACCGGAGTGACGCGCCGACCTCTTGGGCCGAACATCAAACCTCTAGGCTTTAAGTTATGCCGACCTCCTGAATCGACCGTCAAACCTGATTTACTGAAGCAGCGTGCCGGCCTCTTGGGTCGAGCACCTGCCTAACTGTAAGCCAACAACCAATTTGCCAAAGGACGACAAACTGGGGTCCCATCAGACGACCAAGCTAAACTAACAACCAAATTCCAATTTGCCTGGGTCGAGCACCGGACCCTAAGGCTCTTTTTAAACTGCGCCGACCTCTTGGAACGAGCGGCAAAATTCTAAAGACAGCCCTGCCGACCTCCTAGGTCGAGCGTCGATCTCTCAGGGCCCCCCACTAGGACACTTAGCATTATCTGAGTGTGCTAGTGTAGAAGTGAAAAGTTAAACGACATTGATAATGAGAAGGGACTTAAAACGTGAAAACTAAGCATTTATTTAATGATGAACTGGTACGAAAATTCCAAAGAATACAATAAGATACTCCGGACCAACCTATCCTACGAACAATCGCAAATTCGAGAAGTGCCAAGGGCGGGGTACCTCTACACCGTCTAATTTGGCAAGCTTACAGTACCCAGCCCGGCTTGCCTCGAGGACCTTGTACGGCCCCTCCCAGTTCGGACCAAGCTTGTTGGAGTTATGAGCTCGGCTGACTGAGTTCTTTCTTAGGACGAGATCTCCCGGTTGGAACTGCATATTCCTCACCCTCGCGTTATGATAGCGGGCGAGTTGGCTTTTATACTTAGCCATCCGTATCGTCGCTTCCTCACGCTTAGCCTCCAGCATGTCCAAGTTGCACCTCAGTTCTTCTTCGTTGGCTGACGCCACGAAGTTCTGTGTCCGAGGCGAGGGGAGACCGACCTCCGCGGGCACCACCACCTTCGCCCCGTAAGTCAGGGAGAACGGGTTCTCATGAGTAGCTGTCCTTGGCGTAGTGCGGTAAGCCCAGAGGACGCTAGGGAGTTCATCTAGCCAGTTAGACTGGGCTAGTTCCAACCTAGTCTTAAGCCCTTGCAGAATGGTTCGATTAGCATTCTCTACCTGACCGTTGGCTTGGGGATGTCCGACCGAGGTGAAATGTTGGCTAATCCCGAGCTCGGCGCACCAGCTCCTGAAAGGATTTTCAACAAACTGTCGCCCGTTGTAGGATATCAAGACATGCGGGATCCTGAAGCGGCAGACTATGTTCTTCCAGAAGAACTTCTGAATCTCCCTTCCGGAAATAGTGGCCAGGGGTTCGGCCTCCATCCACTTTGTGAAATAGTCGATGGCCACCACGAGGTGTTCGTACCTTCCAGGAGCTCGAGGGAAGGGACCCAAGAGGTCTATCTCCCACTGGGCAAAGGGCCAAGGACTGTGGATAGGGATCATCTCCCGAGTAGGTTGGTGGCGCAGCGGGGCGTGCACCTGGCAGGCCCGGCATTTCTGAATAAGAGTTGCGGCATCCCGAAACACCGAGGGCCAGTAGTAGGCTAGGAGCAGGCATTTTTTGGTCAACACCCAGGACCCCCCATGTGCCGCGCACAGGCCTTCGTGAACCTCTCGGAGGACATAGTCACCCTCCTCGGGAGTTACACACTTTAGTCAGGAGGACAAGTATGACCTCCTGTAGAGGGTCCCCCCGGCGTAGGCGTACCTTGCAGCCTTGAGGTGGAGTCGGCGAGCCTTGGTCTTGTTCACTGGAAGGCCACCCGAGCTGAGGAAGTCCACGAGGGGAGTCATCCAGGTGGCCGGGCTGTCTATAGCCAGAACCTGGACCTTGCCAATGCTCTTTTGCACCGCTCGCTTGTTTTGTGACCTTGACACCCGCTCGATCTCAAAGAGGTCGAACAACTTTATCGCCTCCTGCACCTTAGCCAAATATCTTTTCATGACATCTTCCTTGGCCTCGTACTCCCCGCGGACTTGGTAGTCTACGAGTTGAGAATCGCTCCGGACTCTGATCGCGGTTACACCCATCTGGTGGGTTATCCACAATCCTGTCAATAGCGCCTCGTACTCAGCCTCATTGTTGGACGCTGGGAAGTCAAATCTGAGACCGTAGGTCAGTTCCTCCCCGGTGGGCAAAGTGAGCAGCAAGCCAGCTCCGCTCCCTTCCTTACTTGAGGCCCCGTCTACGAATAGTACCCACGGCTCTTCCGGCCGCGCCTCCTCGGGCACAGAGCTCGGCTCGGTTACGGACAGCTTGGCTCCTTCGACGAGGAAGTCTGCCAGGGACTGAGCTTTGATAGCGGTGCGAGGCTGATAGCCGATGTCGTGCTCGGCCAGTTCGACGGCCCATTTGGTCATTCTGCCCGAGACCTCGGATTTTGTGAGTATCTGCCGTAAGGGTTGATCTGTCAGGACGGTAATGCTGTGGGCCTGAAAGTAAGGTCGGTGCTTCCGAGCGGCGTGCACCAAGGCGAGGACCAATTTTTTCGCCGGCGTGTAATGCGTCTCCGGCCCTTGTAAAGCTCGGCTAACGTAGTATATTGGCCGTTGAACCCCCTTGTCCTCCCGCACCAAAATCGCGCTAACGACCTCGTTGCAAGCAGACAAGTATAGGAACAGGGTCTCTCCTTGCTCCGGGGCAGTCAGAGCAGGAAGCTCGGCCAAGTATGCTTTTAGGTCGATGAAGGCTGTCTGGCACTCCTCCGTCCATTGGAAGTCCTTTGGTGCTTTCAGGATTCGGAAGAAGGGCAGCCCCCTTACCGCGGAGCGCGAGAGGAATCTGTTCAGGACGACCATCCTGCCCGCGAGCCGTTGGACCTCCTTGACGCTCCTCGGGGGGGCCATGTCTATGATGGCCTGAAACTTATCCGGGTTGGCTCGGATCCCCTCTCGGGAGACCAGGAAGTCCAGGAACTTTCCCGACCTAACCCCGAAGGTACATTTCTTTGGGTTCAGCCGCATCCGGCTTTTCAATAGAATGTTCAGGATTTCCCTAAGGTCGGGGACGAGCTGCCGATCAGTTCGGCTCTTGACAATCATATCATCCACGTAGACCTCCATACTCTTGCCGTTCTGATTCTGGAATAGTTTGTTGACCAGACGTTGGTAGGTAGCTCCGGCGTTCTTTAGCCCAAACGGCATGGTCCGGTAGCAGTAAGTTCCTTCCTCGGTGATAAAGGAGGCCTTCTCTCGGTCTTTTTCGGCCATCTCTATCTGGTGGTATCCCTTGAAAGCAACCAGGAAACACAAAACGTCAAAATCAACAGTAGAGTCTACTAACCTGTCGATCATCGGCAAAGGGAAGCAGTCCTTCGGGCAGGCTTTATTGAGATCTGTAAAGTCCACGCACATCCTCCAGGACTGGTCCTCCTTCTTTACCAGGACGGGGTTGGCTAACCAGGTCGGTTAGTACACCTCCAAGATGATTTTGGATTTCAACAACTTGCTGACCTCCTTCCTGATCACCTCATTCCTCTCTGGGACGAAACTCCTCTTCTTCTGCTTCACTGGCTTGAAGCGGGGGTCTACGTTGAGGTGGTGGACGGCCAGATCAGTCAGAATCCCAGGCATGTCCTCCACCGTCCACGCGAAGACCTGGGCGTACTCCCTTAGTAGGGCCTTCAAGCCCTCCTTCTCTTCGGGGGGTAGCGACGCACCGTCGCGGAGGACCTGGTCAGGCCTGTCCTCTCTCAATGGGAACTCCTCGATCTGGTCCTGGGTGCCCAGCTGCCGGGCCTCTTCCCCCGGGATGTAAGGCTCTAAAGTGGTCGTCTGGGCGATCACCTTCTCATGTCCCCAGAGCACGGCCAAGTAGCAAGTTCTGGCCACCTCTGGATCCCCATGCACCTCAGCTATTCCTCCCGGGGTGGAAAATTTGACGCTGAGGTGGAGAGACGAGGGGATAGCTCGAAAGGCATTCAAGGCGGGCCGTCCCAAGAACACGTTGTACGGGGATTGTTGTTTGACCACCACGAAGTTGACGGGGATAGTCCGGCATTTGGGCGCCTGCCCTACCGTAACCATCAGGGTGATCATCCCCTCCGGAGTGATGGGCGGTCCGGTGAAACCCACAAGGGGTGTCCGAACCGGGGTTAGCTGTCCGTCCTCCAATCCGAGCTCCTTGAACACCCGGTAAAACAGGATGTCCACCGCGCTCCCCTGGTCGACGTACACTTTCTTCACCCGGTAGTTATTGGTCACGACGTCTATCACGATGGCCTCGTGGTTTCCAGACGCCAGAGGAACCGCGTCCCTTGGTCCGAAGGTGATCTCTTCGTCCATACGCAGGCGCTTCAAGGAGTCATTCCCCTCCGAAAGAAGTCGCCTGTTCTTCCGGGCCGCATGGCTGTCCCCTCCCGTGGGGCCCCCAGCGATTGTGTTTATTACCCCTGTCAAGTTCTGGGTGTCCTGGTCGGGGGAATGGTCCCAAGGGACGTCACGCCGCTCAGGGCGGCCACGAAGCTGGCCCTCGCCCCTGTCTCCGCGGTAGGTGCGTCCAGGCTCCTGGCCTGGTCGACCTTGCTGCACGAATCGCCCCAAGAAGCCGTGCTGGATCAGATCCTCTATCTCCTTTCGCAGGGCCCGGCACCCCTCCGTATCATGCCCGACATCACGGTGGAAGGCACAGTACCGGTCCTGGTTCCTCTTGTTCCGGGGTGTCCCCATCTTAGGCGGCCACCCCACTAGGCCCTCCACCTCCATAACGGCCAGAACTTGGGCTCTGGGCCGAGTTAGGGGGTTGTAGCCTTTTTCTGGAAGCGGCGGTTGACCGGGGGCCTTATCCTTTGAGAGCCGGTCGAAAACATTCTTCTTGGCCGGGCCGTCCTTATTCCCGGGCGGGTTTACCCATCCTCTCCTATCTTCGATCTCCCGATCTGACTCTCTCTTCAGGCGAGCAGCCTCCTCCGCATTAGCGGCTGCGTGTGCCCTAGTCAAGAGCTCTTCCAGGTCTCCGGGAGGCTTCTCGGCGAGCTTGAGAAAGAGCTCTTCCACCCTGAGCTCGTTCATGATGGCGGCCATGACCACATTTTCATCCTTGTCCCTGATCTGCAAGCTCTCCGTGTTGAAGCGGGTCATGAAGTTCCTCAGGGACTCGTCCGGCTTCTGCCTGATTGCCATCAGGTGAGTCGCATTTTTCGAGTAAAGTCTTCGAGGAGACGAACTGGACGGCGAACTGCCTGGCCAGCTCGGGGAAGTTCCGGATGGACCCCGGTGCCAGACCTTGGAACTAGAGCCGGGCCTTCCCCTTTAGGAACATGGGGAAGGTTTTGCAGCGGACCCCATCCGCAGCGGTTTGCAGGCGCGCATATGCGTCAGGAAGACCGAAATGTGATCTTCCGGGTCGGTCGAGCCGTCGTACAGCTCGATATTCAGGATCTTGAACCTCCGGGGTAGTGGGTAGTCCTCTATCTCCCGGGTAAAGGGCGAGGTGGTTTAGTTGTCCTCGTACAACTGCGGCCGCAAGATCTGCTCAAACTCGTCCCGGACAGGGTTCCACTGGGGGTGGTCTCGCGGCCGGCTCTTGATAGATCGGACGGGGGAGCGCTCAGGCTCCTTCCGCGCAAGCTTCCACGAGGAGGGATTTCTCGGTCGGCCCCCAGCGGACCGATCGCGAGAGTACCCCTCACTATCCCCGACCACCGAGGCCCGCGGCCGAGGGGGAGTCCGTGGCCGTTTCTTCCTGGAGGGCTGGTCCCGTGACTCATCCTCCGAAGGAGCGGGAGGTGATTCCCTCTCCTTCCCCTTCGCCTTGGAGGTTTGGACGCCCTCGGCTTCACCCCCTCCTTTGCTTGCCGAATTATGTCTTCTAGCATGGGAAGGTTCTCCGTCACGAACTGAAAAATCTGCTGTCTCCGTTCCCCTGAAAGGGCTGAGCCCCTGGCGCCCCGAGCCGCCTCGGTCTCCACTCGCCGGGACCCCTCGCCGGCTCCGGGGTCGGTGTTCTCCACAGTTCGCTTTGAACGCGTTCTCGCCATCAACACAACTACTCGTACCTTCGTTCCCATAGACGGCGCCAACTGAAGAGCTCCCCTGGTGACTGTGACTTACTAGCTTACGGGTTAGCAGTTTTGCCTCATACATGGCAGGCCAGTAAAAAGGGATTGGCGGGTTTAACTTAAGATCCCCTTTCCGCTTACTCTAATTCCTTCTTTCCTTCTCTAGTTTCAAGTCCACTAAATGGACTGATCTTGATTTTGCACTGGATCCTCCTCAGGCTTTCAAAACCAGCAGTTACCTATCCTTCAACTAAGGAAGACCCTTCTAACAACTCTATCTCCATTTCCTTGAAGGCCTAATCCTTCTTTCTACTTTGAGGTCTAGCGAGAGATCAGGGTCTCTTTCATAAAGTGAGGGTAAGGGGCGGAAACTCAACCACTCGCTAAAGAATTGAAAGGGCTCATAAGACAGGCCTGTGAAGAACTGGACTTCCTGAAGGAAGAAGTCAATGGCCCTTGCGATAAGGGATTACAACAAAAAGAATCCTTAGCCCCTCGATCTGAGTCCCTTTACCCGAAAGCTTAGAACGCCCAGTCCTGGTTCAAGTGGAAAACCAAGGAATGAATTTCCTCTTAACGCATGACATCTTAATTGAATACCTTACCTTCTCTCCTCTTCTCTTCTCTTCTTAACGACCGACCTCGCCTCTGCTTCGGCAAAGCAACCACGAAAGAATCTCTTCCTCTGCTGCTTCAACACGGGGCTTAATAGTACCTTTAAAGAGTTCTTCGTTTCTCTCCTGATTCTCTCTCTCCTGTGTTTTTTTCCTTTCATTGCCTTTTCCTTGTCAAACGTAATTTTGAGAAGTCAATATTTATATTAACAGTATATAAAAATTCATTATCATCCTTGATAATATCAAGATAAACAAAGATTATTCTCTTATCTTTTCTATTGTGCAATTTTTGGAACATTGCTATGGCGTTCAAAAATTTTTTGAATATTAATTGTCTAACAAATGATTTCTCACACCGTGTGTTTGATAAAAAGTCTAGGAGAAAATAATCTAGCAGTTTTTAGTTTGCAATTGAAAACTTGAAAATTTCAGTTTTATTACATCTTGTAAAAGTTTTTTTTCAAAGAGTAAGAAGGATAATATAAACAAATATGATAACCTTGAAGTTTTTGTAACTTTTTCTTGTTATTACTTACAATTTTTGTTGCAATTTTTGAATTTTTCAAATTTAATTTTTGAAAAAAATATATGCAATAGGTTTGATTCATTTCAAGAAAAATGTAGAGACCAATCATAGTAAGGTCAATAATGGTAGAATTTGTTTTAAATAATTATAAGAAAATTATCAAAGTTATGCAATCTTATTGTGTCTCTATGATTAAAAAAAATTAAAAATTTTAACTCTTGTTGGAAACTATAAACTAGATCAAAACTTTCCTTTCTTGTTATCCTACGTGGCAATCAGGATAATAAGGTGGCAATAATAACATCATTATGGGAATAAAATTTGAAAGTGAATCATATTGAAAATATTTTTTAGAAAGAGTGTTATTTTAGCAAAAAACTCACTAACTTTACTTAGGTAGAACTTTCAGCATTTTACATATTTCTTCATGTTTTTCTCTTTTTACAAACTTTAAGTTTGCTATGAAGCATCTTTATAATGACTTCCATAAAATTGTAGGTTTTGTTTGGATTCAAGGATTTGATGAAGGATTTGAAATTCATCCAAATCGCTCTAGTTGTTTGGATTGCTTAAAAGGTATTTGGATTTGTAATTCATCAATTACATAACTACATTTTAAACAAAATAATTAGTGATTTACAAATCCAAATACCTTTTAATTAATCTAAACAACTAGAGAGATTTTAGAGGATTTCAAATCCTTTGTTAAATTTCTCAATCCAAATGCAGCTTTAATGAACCAGTAGTACCAAGCATTAAATGATTGGCCGAATTTTCTTGAATTCAACTTTGAATTAAAAAAGAAATAAGGCTAGTTAACTACAGTTAAAAAAAAAATCTATATGAACAAGTTTTTATTCACGTCCTGTCAAATATCAATTTAAAGTAAAGTGACAGTATTAATAATCCTTTTCTTTAAAAGATTGGAACTTATCTAATTTGAATTGTACGTTGATAATTGACATGAATTTTCAAGGCTAATTTATTTTTATCCTTTTCTTGATTTACTTTTCAAAAGCTATGCCAATCTTATATGACCAACACATAGAATAATGCTTCACTAAGTTTCAGTCTACCACTACTAAATATATATGAAACTTATTAAACAACTTCATAACTGATACAAAAAAAAAAAGTAAAGAAAATGACATGTTTCATCCCCTACATTTCGTAAAAATATTCTTTTCGTCCTTCACATTTAAAATGAAGCAAATTGGTCCTTCACATTTAAAAACCCAAGCTTTTACATCCTAGAAATAAACTCTCAGTTGTGAATCAAGCCATCTAACAACCCGGTTACAAATTTTGGGGGTAGAATTGGTAGATCACTCGCATTGTCAATCAAACTATCTAACAACCCGATTACAAATGTTGGGGGTAGAATTGGTAGATCACTCGCAAAAATATATTTCCAACAAATAAATTAAAGCAATTAAAAAATCTTAATTAAAACCCATTTGTTTCTTCAAAAGAACGAAATAGTGCTAAAGCTCTCAAGCACTAAACCCTTAGTGCAACAAAAACTGAGAAATATGTCTAAGGGTTTAGTGCTTGAGAGCTTTAGCACTATTTCGTTCTTTTGAAGAAGCAAATGGGTTTTAATTAAGATTTTTTAATTGTTTTAATTTATTTGTTGGAAATATGTTTTTGCGAGTGATCTATTAATTCTATCCCCAAAATTTGTAACCGGGTTATTAGATAGTTTGATTCACAACTGAGAGTTTATTTCTAAGATGTAAAAGCTTGGGTTTTAAATGTGAAGGACCAATTTGCTTCGTTTTAAATGTGAGGGACAAAAAGAATATTTTTACGAAATGTGAGGGATGAAACAAGTCATTTTCTCAAAAAAGTAACATGCAAATAAAAATATCTTAGAACAAGACAATTCACAATAAAAAATCAGCACAAACACACACATTAATATTCAAAACAAGGAGGAGTTACAAGTGTACCTTCATTTTTACATATTTCTTGCGAACATAAAGTCTAGTTTGAACTAAAATTTATGAGCTCGGATACTAGAATACGAAAGCAACACTCATTAACTAAAGAATCATTTAGTAAAAATATATTTAGTGGACAACCACACAAGATAAGACAGGATTTATGAGGGCAGGAGAGTTTATTCTCAACTAAGATACATATAACCATAAAAGAAAGACACCATGTGGGTGGGAGTTTTTTGCCAAAAATAACACTCTTTCTAAAAAATATTTCCAATGTGATTCACTTTCAAATTTTATTCTCAAATTGATGTTATTGTTGCCACCTAATTACCCTGATTGCCATGTAGGATAAGAAGAAAGGAAAGCTTTAATCTAGTTTATAGTTTCCAATAAAAACTAAAAAATTAAACTATTTTATTATAGAGGCACAAGAAAATTGCATAACTTTGATAATTTCCTTATAATTATTTAAAATAAATTTTACCATTATTGACCTTGCTATTATTGCTCTCTGCAATTTTTTTAAATGTATCAAACTTATTGCATATATTTTTTCAAAAATAAATTTGCAAAATATAAAAATTGCAATGAACATTATAAGCAATAACAAGAAAAAGTTACAAAAACTTCAAGGCTATCATATTTGTTTATGTTATGCTTCCTACTCCTTGAAAAGAACTTTTACAAAAAGTAATCAAACTATTGCAATTAAGATAATGCTAAAGTTTCTCAAAAGTAACACAAGCCATTAATTCATGTTGAATAAATGTGCAAAAATACTTCAAGTATACGAGATTATTTGATTATGTGATAGAGAGGCTGTGACGCCCCTATTTCTCCCTAAGGCGAACCAAAGGGTATCCGCGGGACGCCTGCCCAACTCTCGCCAGGACTCAAGATAATTTCCGTTCAAACTTAATGAAATACCAACCATCACGATGATATAAGTAAGAAAGGGAGGTCACTCCCATAAATAACATTCAAACTTACATCACGAGTTCCAAAATACGCCAAGTATCCAATCCTTACATCA